GCTTCTCCAAGCGGCCCACAAGCAAATAATCCAGCAACCAAAATATGCACAGGATAACATTGCAGCAGTCGCAGGACCAACTCTTAGGAATTTCTGGCCCAGTGTGGTTGATATGCAGAAGATGTATGATGATCTTAAACCAACAACACGAAAGGTGTTAAAGCTGATCACTGCCTCTCCAGATACTCCAGCAGAGAACCAAAGTTTGCGATATCTACATCAGTACATAAGGGGATTGGATGAAATAGGCCTCCGGAAGATGTTGAGATTTGTAACAGGGTCTGATATCATCTGCATTAAAGAAATTAAAGTCATATTCACTGCTTTGGAAGGCCTTGCACGGCGGCCAATTGCACATACATGTGGCCCGACTTTGGAGCTGCCATCAACCTACAACAGTTATCCTGAGCTCTGAGCTGAAATGGAGACATTACTGTCCAGTAACTTCTTCACAATGGACATTGCATAGGTGTGCCTCCCTCATTTACTAACTTTTTGCTTCCATGTTTAGTTTTTGCCCATTTGTAACTTCATCAGAGCCATCTGTTAAGACCTTAAGAAAAGTTTTCAAGAAAGTTATCACCATTCTTAAATGGTAGGTGACATCTTTAGTGACTGATGAACATTCTGTTAATGGACTTGTAAAATTATTTACTGTTTTGGAGTACATTATTAGACTTAAATTTACCAACTTAGTGCAACTTAGACATGCCATTTGTCATTTATCTTATACAACAAGGCTTTTGTCTTAAAGTTTTTTTGTTGATTTTATAAATGGTTTTATATTTTATAAATGTTTTTCTATTTTGTATGTTTTTATTTTTATATTTTGTGTTTCTGAAAAGCCTAGGCTTTTCCCATTTTGCTTTCTTGGCATTTCTTGCAATACTGTTAAATAGCTTTTAATTACTTACAGTATTGCTCACATTTAGTGCATTTATTTATTTATTTATTTATTTATGTCTGACACAGGTTCTGTAAAGTATGATAAATTAAGCTCTTTACAGATTTTTGTTTTTCTTACATCTTCTTTGTTGTTTTTCCTTGTAAATGATTGAGAAATAGGTATTTATAGTTTATCTTAAGTTTTTTATCATCAGTTGTAGAATTTTGGACATTAATTTAAATGTTCTCACAAAGTTGGATTTCAAAGAAAAAATATTGACCTACTGAATTGTAGTTCATGTCAGCTGTTAATACTGGCACTTTTTGTGAAACTGTTCGAACATGCATTAGAAGGTACATTAAATGTACCTTGTGTTTTTACTAATAAAAAACACAGGTTGCGTTCTTGTTTTTTCCTCAAAGAAATAGTGTCTTTACTGCAGATACATTGACATGCTCAGTGACCAAAATGGTAAGTGATACGTTCTAACAATGGTGAGAGGACAGCACAGATCCTGCCTCACAGGGCATAATTACTGAGTTTTGACAATTGCACTGGGTAAAACCGTGAAAAATGTATCATTCTAGCCAGATACTCATGCTTTGTGAAAAACACTATGCCTCAAACCAGAATCTTTTAAATAGAAATGTACAATTAGTGTAAAAGTAGAATTAATCCAATATGGGTAAATTCAGAAGGAAAAAATGTAGTCATGCTTAAATTAGAGCAAAAAAAAAAAACAGACTATATTTGTAGATGGTGTAATTGAAATTCATGGTTCATAACATTTTCCAACTGCAACGAACAGTGTTATTTGTGTTATGTGTCACGATCGCGGGGTAAGCGAGCTGGAAAGCAGACGATCGGAGCCAGAAAGTCAGGTACAACTGGGATTTATTAGGGTAACAGGACCGGGGAAGCACGACAGGTAACATCAATGACGAGTCTGGGGAAGACTGACTCAGACGAGGACTAAATACAAAAGACAAGCCACGGATAACGAGCCACAGGTGAGAACAATCAGGGCGAAACAGGAGGTAATGAGGTGGGCGTGGCACACATCGGGAGCGGAAGGAGCGGGGCGTGACATTATGTAAGTGTGTGATCACATACAGTCATTAAATCCAGCAGAACAGCTTGTGATTATTGAATGTGGGTATGTATGTAAGCACGTACTGTAAGAACATGTAAAGCTCAATGGCTTCTTTTGGAGAGGTGGGTGGATGAAGACTGTTGTCTGCCATGGCAAGGCAACAAATGTCAAACACAGTAGCATCACAGGGATATGGTCCTCTCTGAAGGCATTCCTCCCTGCAAACCCCTGAAATAACCACTCGTTACAACCGAGGTATGCAGCAAAGCATTTGTGAA